ATACTTGGAGACAATTGGATTCGAAAGCATAACTGGAAGTTCCAACACTATGCCATGAGTTACGAAAGATCCACATGGAGCTGGATCTTGAGTCTACTTAGAGACGAGGGGCTTCATCATCCCGGTAGTTCAAGTTCAATCTCCAAGACTCTGCTCAAGGAGAGGCTGCAGGTGTTCTACACCGCGTTCGAAGATATCTACAAGAGCCAAACCGGATGGTCGATTCCAAATGATCAACTTTGCGAGGATGTCAGGATCTCAATGTCGCTCAAGGTGATTCAAGCTTATCGAACTTTCGTTGGTAGGCATGTGAATAATATCAACGAGAAATATATCAAGTACAGTGCTGATGATTTGGAGAATTATCTCTTGGATCTGTTTGAGGGTTCTCCAAGATCATTACATAGCTTCCATAGAAGGTGATTTCATTAGCTTTTGTGTGTATCTTTTCCTCATATATTTTCTGAAACCTTTTTGTGCTAGAAAATTGTGTTATTATGTGAGTTTTTGCCTCATATGAATTGTACTGTTAAGACTTTTGTGGTATATTAAGCTGTACAGTTACATTGCTTATTGTTCTTGAGTTAAGCTTGCCAGCCAAAGGAGACCAAGGCTCAGACTTTAAGACCTCAAAAGTCAAATCAAAAAGTCAAAAGTCAAACAATGGGGGTTGTAGATAAATTCTGCAAAATAACCAGAAGTCTTCCCATTTCATTAGATGCAATTTGTTTACGGTCCGTTTACCAAACACTTACCGGGTTACTTACGATGATGGCCGAGAACGTTACCACTTACCCGATAAGATAAATAAGAGTGGTAACCGTTGCCGATAAGCACTTACTCTTAGTTTGAAAGATGGTTTTAAGGGTTTTTGTAGTTTTTATGATTCAATACTGATAGGCAGCGAGTCAACTGAAAAAGTCAACCATTGAAATGTTTGACCTAATCTGAATAAAACAATCTGAAAAAAGAAATTCAGTCATGGGTCTGAATTCACTTCCAAAAAGTGTACAATGTGGATGCATATTTGTTGACTTTATACGGACAACTACAAAAGCTAACAAGACCCTTATAGACTCGTTGTACGTGATATACTTTTCACCGATATTACTTGCGTTCCTACCAACGAAAGTTCGAAAAGCTCGAATCACCTTGAATGAAATTGAGATCCTCGATCTGAACTGAGGACGAGTTTTTGGAGTTAGCTCTGCCTCGTGAGATCACCACCAAAGCTTGACTCTTATAGATCTCTTCGAAAGCGGTGTAGTCTCTCCTTGATTAGAGTCTTGAAGATTGAACTTGGACCACCGCAACGATCAAACCCCTCGTCTCTAAATAGATTCCTCCAGGTGGATCTTTCGTAACTCATTGTTATGCATTCGAGTCCAATTGTCCCCAAGTATGCTTCTTAGCTCCGACCTTTTGACATTTTCAACCGTGTATTCGATGTTGTTTTATCAAGAAAAATGTGTCCCAATGCATCTTCTTTGTATAATCTTGATTTCTCTTCAAGGTCGGGTTCAAGAATCGACATTAGTGATCGAAAATGCAACCCCAGAGGAGATAACGACGATTTGCCATTGACGCTATCATCTTCATAGGCCGGAGGACCGGAACCGGGATCGGGACCGAAATCTGGGACCGGTTACACTATAGCTTAACCGGGCTCACTCTTTTCAACAGGGACCAATTATGGCCGGATTTATTTAGGCATGGGACTGATAAGGCCCGTCCTGGGATCGGTTTTTGACCATCACTACATACAACAAATACGATAATACATCTATTCTGAAGGTGTTCCTATGCTTACCAACACAACCTGGTTAAACGCTAACGATGTAAAAGTCAATACGATTACTTATCTTACGTTATAAGATTATCGGTTTATCAAAATATCATGCATAAGCATCTCATACCAAGGGCAGAGCCATTATGGTGATACATTCCGTCGTTACTCATTCATCCGACCCTAACAACCTTAGTAACTCATCCACACCTCTACGGTCAGCCGTCGTTTCTCAGTGGCTGTTTATATTAGATTATTAATGAATGGTTGTATCATATGAAAATTATTTGAATGCTTGTATATGTAGTGATAAGCGGTATAACAAATATCAACCTGCTATTTGGATATTTGATGGTCTTAGTGCATCTAAATCTAGTTGGTAAAGATGTTAATATAAATACATTTGTAACTTCAATTTTTAGTTGGTACAGAACCGTACCAATTAAAAAAAGTTAGCACCAATTTTGTCCGTACCAAGTTTGTTAGGTATAAATACCAATTATAATTTGAAAAACAGGCAAATCGCATGAAAAACTAACGTACTTTAACTTGATTTTTATTTTGAGTAACGAACTTTTAAAACTTCTATTTTGATACATAACATGTAAAGTTTTAAATATTTAAGTACCCGGGTAACCGGTTGATTGCATTAACCAGTTATTATGCTAGTGTGATATCCACTTTATTATTATTTGCTTACGTGGTTAGTGACATGAAATTTTTAATCTAAAATTAGTCTTTAACCGGTTACCCAAGTACTTAAATATTTAAAACTTTACATCTTAGCTATTAAAATAAAAGTTTTAAAAATACGTTACCAAAAATAGAAATCAAGTTAAATTACGTTACTTTTTCATGCAATTTGCTCAAAAATAAAGGTTCAAATACACTATGGACTATCCACGAAACGGATGGTCGTCATGAGATGGACTCGCACAGGTCAGGATATACAGGTTAATAAGGGGCTGTTTACTAAATGCTTACTTGCTAAGGTAAGTGTTCACTGAGTAATTTTTCTTATCTAATGAACATGACAAAAGTCAAAAATCTTACCCGGTAAGAGCAATGATAAAGATGAAGAACCTTACTCGGTAAGTGAGGGTGACGACTCTTACCCGAGTAAATGCTTACCGGGTAAATTGTTGCATACAGTATCATTTTAATGTTCTCCAATCTTACCCAATAAAATAAATTATAGTGTTGACTACTAACGATAAAAAGCTTACCGGGTAAGCATTCAGGTAAACCGTCCCGAAAAGGAAGAAAAAGACAATATTGCCCTCCTTATCATCAGATACGTCTCCCCAACCAATCTCCCGATTTACTCTCCTCTGGAACCTAGACTTGGTTTCCTCATGGAATCGCATTCTTTTTTCGTCGTCAGCCTCCAGCACAGATCTGCTTCCTCATCTAAAATCGAGGCTTCTTCTCCATTGAAATCGCTGCGGTTCATCCCTGTCGATTGGTCACTGTCACTCTTACAGGTTTGATTTCTTCTATAACTGTTGATATTTTGTTCTTCAAAATGGATTTTATTGAACCAATTTAGGGTTCTTATGTTACAGAGTTAAATTGATTGATTATGTATTTATGAGATCTTTAATGCAGAAGGAAATAAAAGAATATGGTTGTAATTCACCTACAAATGCCAAAACACTCTGCAAATTTGGAAAAATTAAAAAAAAACACATATTGGGGTTTTTATTTTATTATTTATAAACAATAATTTCTGAATTAAGCTCTAGTTCAACAATAACCAGATGGAGATACAGATAGAATTTTCATTTCTACTTGAGTGTAGCTCAAAATCAGGAGGAAATTTTGGTTTTTTGCTTGATTGACTCAAGTTCATCATAGCCCATGATTAAATAAAATGTTGAATTCAACTCAAAATCAGCAAATCCCAGATAGGAAAACGGGGGAAAATCTGTTGTTTGTTTGATTTAGCACAAGTTCATCACAAACAGATAAAAATTCTATTTTTTGCTTGAATTTAGCTCAAACAAGCAAGTTGATTGACTTTGTACCTTCACTTGGCCTCTTCTTGATTTCTCCTTTTATCTATTACTTCGGGGCCGTTTACCAAACTTTTACAAGGTAAGCACTTACCGGACGTCACTTACGCTTTTGGTGAGCATTTGGTGAGCATGACCGAGAATCTTACTCGGTAAGAGGCATAGCAAAGACCGAGAATCTCACCCAGTAAGTGAGGGAGAAGACTCTTACTTGGTAAAAGATGTTTACCACAATCCATTTTGATGACCGAGAATGTTCCCTGATAAGGTAATCAAGGGTGATAACTCTTGCCGTTAAGTGCTTACCCAATAAGAATTTGGTAAACGGACCCAAGGATGTGTTCATTCAAACAAAAGAATGACTCGAGCTGTAATATCAAAATGAACTCTTAAAAGTTCAATAAGGAAAACTTACAATCTTGTTGAACTTTTCATTGGTAGCCAATGGTATTGTTCTTAGAGCAATAGCATCCTTGAATCCCTCACTCTTAGATATTGGAAAAATTGACATAGTGTGGTGCTTAGATTCATACTACAACTATGATCAAATATAACAGATCAGTATTCAGTACAACAATTATGGAAGTTCATATGTATGCAAATAATACATGCCTATGGCAACCATATGTTGGTATGTGTAACCAATTAACGAGTTCTTGAGTAATGACAATATTAGAAATTATCAAGCAACATACAATTGCATGTTGTCGTATTTTGCATAACAAGGCACATGAGATGGAATGTATATCTATTGGACAACCATGTATGCTACAAATCATTTTACACAATCGATTCATTAGCAGGCTCTTTCCACAAACATAAGAAGCATCTGGTGTGCTATATGTGTGCTAGTAACTGCATAAGCTTTGAATAAGCCCAAACCAGGCGCTGCCAAAACCATACCCTTTTAACCATGGAGGTTCACCTACAATGACTCCAGACCATTCGTGGTGGCCCGGGGGATTAGTCAGTGCACGTAAGCTGGCCAGAAACACACAATTACCCAAAAAAGCCATTTTGCTTGGTCACCAAGCTTTGGCGCCTTTGGGCCCCACTTTATTGGAAAAACCTCGACGAAAAAGCTCTCCCGTTGTGGATGCTCTTATTGGTGCAGTTACAAGCAAAAAGTGCTTTTCTGTTAGGAGCTTAATAATAATCTTAGGTGGCATTTTTTTTTTGAAAAAGTTTTGTTGTGGATGCTCATAGAAGTTCTTTAGCATACATGAAAGAATTCAAGAAATGATCTTTTAACATGGAGCATACAACAATATATTTGACAAAATAGCTAATAAGCTAGTTGTTGGATAGAAAGCTAGATGTTGGTTAATAAGTTATTTGTTAGCAGAAGAGTTGGCTCATAAACTGGCCATGTTTAATGCACGTTACTACTTACTACCACTACTATTGTTTTACACCATTCTGGCTTATTCAACAAACCCCCCAGACGATTGATTCCGTCTCACACAACAAATATAGGATGTTGTAATTTGTAAACAAAGGGCAATTGAGACCTATAATGGGTAGAGAGATAAATGTATCTAGGATTTTTTTAGCATACATGAATCTTATGTAATGTAACAAAATCCACTAAGTGAGCATATAACAATATGTTTAAAATATTAGGTCCATAAATGAAACCTAATTGTCTAATCAACATTCAACACCATCATGATATAAGTTGTTATCAGAATGCAAGAATAACATATTTCTATTTCGACGTTGACAAGAACTATAGAGATCAGGTAACATAGTGTGGTCTAGATCTAACGATTGCAATTCATATGAAAAATCTACAAATTTGCTAAAGAAAGTTCTCTAGTTACTGAATTCAATTTCAAACACCAACAGATTCATGTATCCTCGGATAAATGGCGAATTTCATACAATTAAATGAAATGCGTGGATGAGAGAAACATAAATTCTGATAGATCAAACCTATTTGAGCATCCATTTGTTACTAAAATCGTGGGCAACTCCCGCATTGGCAAGAATCATAAAACCTCAATGGAAGAGGATTGACGGAGGAGGAAGAAGAAAAATTATAGAGATAGAGAAGGGTTAGAGTTTGATGATAGATAAATGGAAATGGCGACGGTGAATATTGATTTCTATTGCAGGTAAACGACCCATGTGGGAAGTGTTTGGGCATATATGTTCAATTAGAGTTTAATTATCATCCTCTTTGCATGTTCATATATGCCCAAATACTTTCTGCCTGGATCGTTTACCTGCAATAGGAATCAATATGCACCCTCGCTATTTCCATTAATCTATCATCAAACCCTAACCCTATCCCTTCTCTATCTCTTTATTTTTTCTTCTTCCTTCTTCAAGCTCTCTTCCATTGAGGTTTTATGATTCCTGTCCAATGCTGCCAACGATTTCAATACCATGTTTCAACAAATGGGTGTTCAAATAGGTTCGATCTATCAAGATTTATGTTTCTCTGTTCCATGCATTTTGTTTAATTGTATGAATATCGTCATTTATCGGAGGATACATGAATATGTTAGTGTTTGAAATTGAATTCGGTAACCGGAGAATTTTGATTAGCAAATTTGTGGGTTTTTTCATTATTATTGCATTCGTTAGAACTAGAGCATACTATGTTACCTGAACTCTGATCTCTATTGTTTTTGTCTTAAAATAGAAATATGTTATTCTTGCATTCTGGTAACAATTCGGATCATGATGGTGGACCTAATATAGAACATGTTATATGCTCATTTATTAAACTTTTTTACCGAACATTGAGATTCATGTATGGTAAAGAACTTCTAGATGCATTAATCTCTCTGCCTCGTATAGGTATCGGCTGCCCTTTGGTTTACAGCATCGTATATTTGTTGTGCAAGACATAATCAATCATTCGGGGGATTTGTTTGAATAAGCCAGAATGATATAAATTTAATGATCGTGGTAGTAACGCGCATCAAACATGACTATTTTATTGGCCAACTCTTCTCCTAATAGCTAACTGATTAACCCGCAACTAGCTTATTAGCTAGTTTGTCGAACATATTGTTGTATGCTCCATGCTAAAGGACCATTTCTTGAATTCTTTCGTGTATGCTAAAGAACTTCTAAGAGCATCTACAATGGAGCTTTTTGGAAAGCTCTTTTGCCACCAAAGATTATGAATAAGCTCCTAATAAAAACAATACTTTTTGGTTGTAACTGCACCAATAAGAGCATCGAAATCTTTTTCGTCGAAGTTTTTCCAATAAAGTGGGACCCAAAGCTTAGGTGACCAAGCAAAATGGCTTTTCTTTTTGCTTTTTTGGGTAACTGTGGGCTTCCGGGCCAGCTGCGCCCACCGACTTATCCCCTGGGCGACCATGAGTAGACCGAGGTCATTGTAGGTGAACCTCCACGGTTACAACGGCTTTCACAACGCCTAGTTCGGAGTTTTTTTCACGATAGTGAGGTGGCCAAAAAGCCTCCATTGTGGATGCTTGGCTATGTAAGTTTACCATTGTGGATACTCTACAGTGGATGCATTTATCACCCCTCCCCTGATTCTCGATTTCTACTGTCTGAACGTCTTTTGCCTTCGTTTTACAGCATCATATATTTGTTGTGTGAGATGGAATCAATCATCTAGAGGCTTTATCGAATAAGCCAAAATGGAAGAAAATAATGGGAGTGGTAGTAGTAAGCATCAAAACGAAGTCCTCGAGGTTTCTAACAGCAGTAAGCAAGATAATTCGGATGTTGAGGGTACTAGTACCATCGATGATCAAAACGAGCATCTTCATGCTATCATTGCCGACGAGATTCCACTTAATCGTGCCAAGATGGTTGGCCATGCTCCTCTCACCTCCTCATCTGCTTCTTCGTGTTCTTCAAATTTGTTGGATGTCGATTACGATGAAAAAGACGCAGTCGATGTCTCCTCTAGTTCTGAAGAAAACGGTTCTCGAGAAGATGCTGAATCATCGGCCGATACTTCTAGTTCTTCGCCTCAATGGAGCATGGTGAGTGAATCCCCGCTGCACGGACCCACGATTGAATCTTCGTCTTCACCCGAAATTTCACCTCAAAGTTCGAGTTTGAATGCAGTAAATACGTCTCCGATGCAATCTCCGGTGGTACAAGTGATGGGTCGTACTGGTAGTTATGATCCAAACAGGATTCCTTGGTCTACGTTTACTCCAAAACCGGCAAACGATACGGATTGGGCTGCAAATTCTAGTGATTCGTTGTTTAGTCTTTATAACGGGAAATCCGGAGAACTTAACAAGGCAGATTTCTCGTCTGGTCTGCCAACAGTGATCGAAACGACATTGGAAATTGATCAAAAGAGTGTAAGTACGATTGGGGAAGCTGGAGAGAAAGAAAATCTTGAAATCCAAAGCGAGGCGCCAAATGTTTCGATAAATGAAGACGGGAAAGGAGTCGATCCGGCTAGTGCTGTGTAAGTTTCTGCTTAATTTACGATACGCGTTTTAGGGTGCGTTTGGTACACTCGAGAGGATGGGATAGGACTTGACAAGTACTTGTTGTCCCACGTTTGGTACGGCAATTAGGGTGCGTTTGGTATCCTGACAAGACATGACATGACAGAACAACTATTCAACGTTTGGTAAGCCGGAACTTGACAGGACATAACAGATAAAATGACCAATTTACCCCTAATGAGTTGTTTATATATTTTGAATAAATTATGTAATTTACTAAATCATAATAAAATAGATATTTTTTTAACAAAATATATCATTAGAAAGTTTTAGTCAAGATGATTTAAATTTACACCAAAATAAAAAGTTTATGTAGTTTCCAAATTTTATTTTATACCTTTTCTATATTATTTTTATTATTATTAATATTTAATAAAATTACATAAATTAACCAAAATATATAAATCATATAAAAATGATATTTAGAAGACGATAAAGTCAAAGTTTAAAGAACATAAAATAAAATAAATAAAATTTAAAGAATGAATAAAATGTAAAGAATGAGACATATTTGATGTTTTAGAAGAGAATTAAGTTTTATTTTGAGATTATATTGGTAAAATATAGATATGTTCAACCTTGTTCCATGGTACAAGTCCTGCCATAAATGGAACAGTTATTCCTGTTCTGTCATGTCGAGTACCAAACGGTAACGGACCCTTAGCCAAATGCATCCTTAGGCTGAAACTGGACAACACCGAGTGGGGAAAAATGCATTTTTTCTGCCCCATCTACCATGTTAAAATAAAACTCTAAAACGTTCAGCAAGTCTTTCGCCAGCCTACCTCACTCTCGCTCGTCCAGTCTGGTCTTGTCCAGTTTGGTATGCGGGACAGTACAAAAACTTGTTGTCTCATGTTTTGTGCGACATTTAGACTTGCACACGAAAGGGTTGACCCGTCCCAACAAAATAGGTGGACAAAAACCAGGAAGACGACAAACATCGGTAAAATTACAAACTACTCATGTCAAATTAAAACCCTAACCAATAAACCGTCACATCCCGAAAAATGAAACCGAAAGATTTTTTGAAATAGGCCCTTGTTTCTAATTATTCGTCCTCGTAGAAATCGAGTTAACATAACGGAAACTTTTTGTCCTATTCCCAGAATCGAAGATGCATCTTCATTGAAGTCGGATTCTAAAACAACTCCACCGCCATCAACACCCCCGGCAACGGAGGGAGCCATGGGAACGACCCCAAAAACTGGTGGCCGAAGATGCTGCTTCAATTGCTTCTCTTGTTGTTCGTCCCGTGGTTGAACTGTTTTTTAGATAGGATTCATTCAAAACGACGAGATCAGCCATTGCGGGATGACCCGAGTATCTGAATCTCTTTTCAAGGTCCAAATGGTTCACCGACATCGATCCAGAAATCGGATTCGTTATCATGATGAAAAGCCAAGGTACATAGATGTGAAAACAGATTCAGTTCCGTACAACCGTTCGCGTTGCAAACCGAACGCTTCGGTTTTGGTTTCTAACAAGAAACTGAAACCAAACCGAATTAATTTGTTAAACTTGCTTTATCTTGTATTCGAATCATCGATTTATATTCATTTTTTTACTTGGGCTATGTTCAGCCATCTTAATAAGCTAAGCCGTTAGCTGAAAAACAAGTTGTTTGGTTAAAGAGTATCTCCTACAAATTATTCAAAATTTATCTGAAAATGGAGAATCAAAATTCAAAATTTGACGTTTACATCCTCAAATGTTACAAGATCGATGAACTAATGGTCATAATGGACAAAATATTTGGAAATGTCGAAACTTTATTACACGTAATAAGATCGAAGATAAATTTCATCATATTTTCATACATTTTATTAGGGGTTGTTTGTTTACCTCTTAATAGTTTCATTAAGAGGCAATATCTGAATCGTTAAGAGGTGAATTTTGTTTGGCAAAAAAAAAATCTGCCTCTTAATGGTTCTAAAATTCTCTGAATGATTTTGTATCTTAGATCTCTCTTAACCATTAAGAGCCCTGATTTCATTGTACATATATCAAACAATTATATTTCATTTTTGCACTATATCATGAGAGCCTCTTAATCATTCTGATACATTAATCATTCTATACCAAACCATTCAACAATAAACAGTTAAGTGCTAACAAAGAAAACATTAGCTTAAAAAAACAATTGGGGTTGAAATGTAATGAAAACAAAAGATAAAAGGACCAAATTTAAAATTATTGATTTTGAAAACAATTGACTTCTTCCAAAATTAGCCGAAAATACTCTGTATCTCTTCATCTCTTGCCGTCTTTTCCAAAACACAAAATTAGGGTTTGAACAAAACCCTTTTCAACACTTTGACACTAGAATATACACATCTCTAAATCAAACGAATTTCCGAGATTTAGTTTTGTTGAACCCTAATTAGGGTTCCAGCAATGGGTCGTCATCAGAAACCCTTAAAACTGTTGTTAATTATCTGGGTTTTCTTCACTTCCCACGGTTACATCGCCGTTTCCGGCAACGATATCGACAAATATGCGCTTCTGGAGTTTAAGAGGTCCGTTTCCGATCCTTCAGGAGTGCTGGTGAGCTGGAATGGGAGCAATTCGGATGTTTGTTCGTGGGTTGGAGTTTCATGCGGGTCGAATTATCGGGTTGTAGCTCTTAATATCACAGGTGGAGGTAATTCAGGCTCTTTTACTTGTAGTAGATATGATCAATTTCCTTTGTATGGGTTCGGAATAAGGAAAAAATGTGTGGATCGTAATGCTAAATTGATGGGTAAATTATCGTCTGCTATTTCCAAGATTTCAGAACTTAGGGTTTTATCTCTCCCTTTTAATGATCTAATTGGGGAAATTCCTGATGAAATTTGGGGTTTGAAGAAACTGGAAGTGATTGATCTTGAAGGGAATTTGATTAATGGGAGTTTGAATTCCAATTTTAGAGGTTTCGATAGTATTAGGGTTCTTAATTTAGGGTTTAATCAGATATCAGGAGATATACCTGATTCATTAGTGAATTTGAAGAATCTACAGGTCTTGAATTTAGCAGGAAATCATATAAATGGTTCAATTCCGAAGTTCTTTAGCGAATTTATAGATTTAAGGGGGTTGTATTTGTCTTTCAATCGGCTTTCGGGCAGAATACCGAGCGAGATTGGGTACAACTGCGGCAATCTCGAGCGTTTAGAACTTGCCGGAAACTTCTTGCTTGGCGGGATTCCAGCCAGTTTATCAAACTGTACTAGGTTGCAATCGCTTTTGTTGTATTCGAACATGCTTCAAGGAGAAATTCCGATTGAGCTTGGCCGGCTTCGGATGTTGCAGGTTCTGGACGTTTCTAGAAACAGTCTCGATGGTGCAATACCGCAAGAGCTTGGAAATTGTACGGAACTTTCAGTTCTCGTGCTCTCAAACTTGTTCAATCCGATCTATAATATTCGTGATTCTGATGGCGATTTTGTTCCAACAAAATTGGTTCGTTCTCATGAAGAGTATAATTACTTTCGGGGTGAATTGCCTTCGGAAATTACGGTTCTGCCCAAGCTGAAACTGTTATGGGCGCCAAGAGCGACTTTGGAGGGCAAGTTTCCGAACAACTGGGCTGCTTGTAGAACCTTGGAAATGGTAAATTTGGCTCAGAATTTGTTCACCGGTCGAATCCCGAACGGGCTCGGTGTCTGTAAGAAGTTGTGGTTTCTTGATTTGAGCTCGAACCAGTTGACCGGAGAGCTTAGTGATGAACTTCCGGTTCTTTGTATGACTGTGTTTGATGTTAGTAGCAATCATCTTTCGGGTTCGATTCCCTCTTTTCGTCATGCCATCTGCAAACCCTTCGATCCTGACTCGGCATATCTCCGATATTTTGCATTTGAAATGGCAAACGATGGTGGAAATCTTGCAATAATGCATAATTTCGGTGGGAATAACTTCACTGGGGGATTGAGTTCGATTCCGGTTTTACCAAGAACGGCCAAGAACTCGGTTTATATGTTTCTTGCCAGCGAAAACCAGCTCGCTGGACCGTTTCCCCGAGCTCTGTTTGATAAGTGCTCTAAATTCAAAGCAATAGTTGTTAATCTCAGCTCCAATGGGTTTTCCGGCGAGATCCCGTCAAATATTGGTCGAATTTGCAGATCGTTGAGGGTCTTGGACGTTTCTCAGAATCGAATATCGGGAATTCTCCCTTCTAGTTTCGGTGAGTTGGGGTCTCTTGTTGTGCTTAATTTGAGCCGGAACTTGTTACACGGAGAAATACCGGTCGATTTTAGTAAGATTAAGGATCTACGGGGTCTTTCGTTATCGCGCAACAATCTTTCAGGTCCTATTCCTACGAGTTTCGGAAAGCTGAAATCTTTGGAAGTTCTTGAACTTTTCTCGAACTCACTTTCGGGTCCGATTCCGGAAGATCTTGTAAATTTGAGAAATCTGACTGTTCTTTTGCTCAACAATAACAAGCTCTCTGGCTCGATTCCATCAGGCTTCACAAACGTTACGAGGAGTGTGAAATTCAATGCGTCGTTCAACGATTTGTTGGACCCTTCACCGGAAAACTTGATGGCGGCGACACCATCTTCCGAACAACAGTCGCCAGAGCCGGAAAGTACGGGTGGTTCCATCGATTACTCCAATTCTTCCACCCCGGTGCCAAAGGGCAGGAGCCGGAAGTTGAATTCAATCGAGATTGCTTCGATAACATCGGCTTCGGCTGTTTTTTCGGTCATTCTAGCTATGGGTGTTCTCTTCTTGTGTGCCCGATGGAGGCCGAATTCCGTGGCAAACGGGTCGACCCACAAGGAAGTTATCCTTTTCACCAATACCGGGGTCCTGCTGACGTTTGAGAACGTGATACAGGCCACTGGTAACTTCAATGCTAGCAACTGTATTGGAAATGGAGGTTTCGGAGCTACTTATAAGGCGGAGATCTCACCGGGGTTCTTGGTGGCAATAAAACGGCTAGCCGTCGGAAGATTTCAGGGAGTGCAACAGTTTGATGCCGAGATCAAGACATTAGGGCGGCTCCGCCACCCGAATCTCGTGACTCTAATTGGGTATCACGCCAGCGAAACCGAAATGTTCTTGATATACAATTACTTGCCCGGCGGGAATTTGGAACGATTCATCCAAGAACGATCAATCCGAGCTGTCGATTGGCGAATCCTTCACAAAATCGCACTCGATATCGCTCGAGCCCTCGCGTACCTCCACGACCAATGCGTTCCGCGGGTTCTTCACCGTGACGTGAAGCCAAGCAACATTTTACTCGACGATGATTTCAACGCGTATTTGTCGGATTTCGGTTTGGCTCGGCTTTTGGGGACCTCCGAGACCCACGCCACCACCGGGGTCGCCGGAACTTTCGGATACGTGGCGCCAGAATACGCAATGACGTGTCGGGTCTCCGATAAGGCAGATGTCTACAGTTACGGGGTCGTATTGTTGGAGCTGATTTCCGATAAAAAGGCGTTGGACCCGTCGTTTTCGTCTTACGGCAACGGTTTCAACATTGTCGGATGGGCCTGTATGCTGCTCCGGCAGGGACAGGCGAAGGAGTTTTTCACGGCGGGGTTGTGGGACTCCGGACCGCATGATGATCTAGTGCAGGTTTTGCACCTGGCAGTAGTCTGCACTATGGACTCGTTGTCCACGAGGCCCACAATGAGACAAGTGGTACGGAGGTTGAAACAACTTCAACCTCCGTCATGTTGACAAAAAATGTATTAGGTATCGATTACGATTAATTTGTAAATTGTTGTATATGTTTGTTGACGACGATAAGAGTAGGGTTTTGCGCAAACTGTTGTATATGTATCGATTACGATTGAACTCGTCCACGTGATTAAACCCCCCGAACTAAAAAGTTACATCGACAGATAAACGGTAGAAGTTTTACTGATTCAGATATAAAAAACGAAACTACTTCCATCGAGATGTAAATTTGTTCTCTACAAAGCTCGTATGACGTTAACGAAACCTTATTTAACGTTTCATTCGACACATAAAAAGGACCAAAAAACGAGTCCTTCCCCTACAAAAATTCTGAACCCCGACAGATCGTTTTCCAAGTATTTCCCATCTCTAAGTATCAGAGCGAAGGCGGGTTAACGACAATATGTCTTAGCGGATGTTCGACATCGCCACCACCACCATGTTTGACGAACTCTGCCGGTGTCAAAAAGCTACCATGGCAAACACAAACTATTCGCACTTCTTCGCCTTTCCGATATCTGTACAAAAACCCTTCGATCTTCTTGCCGTTTATACCATCTCCTTTGGTGGAAACACACGGCATGTCGGCTAACATCACCTTTAGGGTTTCATCCTTAGAGGAGCGGTTTCCGCTAAGGATCTGAGACGATGTTGCAGAGAGTTTCCCTGCAACATGCTCAGATGCAACCAAGTTCGATCTGTTCAAACTCGAACTTGAGATCTTATGTGAAATTGATTGGTTGCTCGTCGTGCTCTTCGACTCAACCTCTTTATTTGTTCCTGTAATTTGATCATTCAGGAACAAACAGATCAGATACATTTAACTACCACTCTAAAAGCTTATTGAATAATACTCTTTAATATCATCAGACCGAATTGGCTGAATATGACGTATTTTTTGTATTTTGTTTTTTATTTTATTTTCTTAGTAATTAATCTAAACTTAATATGAAGGTTAGAAGATATATAAAAAAAAATAAAATAAAAATTATATCATATACCTGAAAAATGTTGACATTCCAAGTCGGAAACCCCCGAAGATCCGCCGCTGGCCGGAGATCCGATGGACACCTGTGATGGAACCGGAGGCGGCCGTGGAAGTGGAGGTAACAGTGACGGTAGTGAAGATCGCCATAACTCGTTTCCGTTTGTTAAATTTCTTCTTTTTGTCTCATAAATCTCCTCCGCCGTTGAACCTTTAACGACCCTACCGTTTTTCAGCTTTTCCACTCGTTTCCGCTTCGCCTCCGACCGCCGTAACGACTGCAATTCCTTCCTCTTCTTCCACTCCTCCGTCTCAATCGGCAGCGAACACGTCCTCGTTAACGGCGAATACAACGACAATGGCGTCGGATCGTCGTTTGTCGACGGAAAACTCGAGAAATCGGTGACGGAAGATGAACGGCTTAACCTATCGTTGTTGCTGTAATTATTATCAACCACCGTACACCGTCGTTCGACACCAAATCGGCCGTTCATCGATAATCCTAAACTCAGCTCCACGTTTTCTTCCACGAGTATTTCCTCTTTCAACGAATGACCAACGCCTCCGGCTCCGCCGTCGTATACAAATGTTTTCAACAAATCCATCCGAAACCTAGAACCTTCGCTTCTGTTTATCGATTTTCCGGCAAATTTTTTCGAGCATCAACGACGATATCGTTCCAAAATCCAAACAGCATTTATTTCGACTGGATTCGATTGAGAAATAGAAGATTTCTCTACGGATCAAGAAGATTTTCCCCGGAAAATATTGCCGGATTTTCGCCGCCGGCAGAAGAGATAGAGAGAGATTGTTTTGCGGAGAGAGAAAGTATAGGTGCGAAAGGGAGAAGAAAGTGGGGAGATTTTTAAAGTGGTGGGGTGATGCGAAAGTACTAAAAGGCCCTTGAAGGATGAGCTTGGGGTGATTTGAAATTACTAAAACACCCTTGAAGGATGGGTTTCGGATAAAGCCCGATGTGGCACGTGGAGGTATGGAAGACGGAAGAGTCTGCCACGTAAGCCTGGGAAAGGAACGAAAAACAGACGGCAGAAGAAAGGGTTTTTTGGGGTTAAGTGACTGACACGTGTCAGTTAAAGCGGTAGGTATTAATAGGCACGTGTATAGTAGGTTCCCGTAGTAGTAACTTCCTTTTGTCAGGGCTACCGGCGGTCACACGAATCATCGTGTTGGGTTGGCTGGCGTTGACGTGGAGTTTCAAAAAGGATGACGTGGCAGACAACCCTCTTGTTTTCTAGGATCCCTATAATTCAGTAGATAAAGTTTCCTGAATAATTATGAGAAAAAGAATAAAGTTCATTATTTTTTAACAAATTACATTTTTAGTCCCTGTAATTTATTGAAATTTTCTGTTTTTGTTTTTATGAATTTAAAATTAAAATTTTCATCCTTATAGTTTTTAAATCATTTTCTTCTTGATCCCTATGATTATAACTTTATTGCTTTTTTAGTTATAATAAAACCTTACACCTTTTGTTTATAAGAACTTTAATTAGAGATGCTTCCATAGATGGATGTAGAAGTTTTTTCAAGTAATGGTACAGTTGAATATAATAAACAAATATACAGATATTTTTAACAATATCATCATTGTTTTTTGGTTAGTTCATTGTTTTTCATATATGAGGTCATGTGTTCAAATTTTTTATTGCTAAAAAATTTCAAAAACATAATAAATATGAATTTAAAAGTTAAAACTAAGAAAATGAGAATAGCAGGATTCAAACTACTAGGTTTTGTGGTGGAAGAAAAGTCTTGCAAACCAACTCTACCAAGAAAACCTGTGTCTTATCTAATTTTAAAATATGTACAATGACACTTTTCACGACTATATGATTTTTCACTCTATGAAGAAGAAACGAAGCAGTGGCCCGTACCACCATATTCAATACATTGGGTTCGTCCCTAGATACTCTTCGTATTTTCTGTAACTTGTAGAAATAACGAAGAAATTTAGTTTTTTCTTTTTTTATATAAAATCTTTAAGTGTTGTTTGGTTTGCAAAATTCAAAGGAATTTGAATGATCGATTTCTTTGATCAGATTCCAACTCCGTTGTTTGATTCACATATTGAAATGGATGGGATCATTTGAATTTCACATATCAAAGAATTGATCATTCTTTAGCGTAAGTGAATGAATTGAATTCAATCACCGTCCATCTCTTGCCCCCACCTCGACTATGCTACTACTATTACTGCCACGCCTCACCTCTAAACTCCCACCACCAAACCATTATTGTTGTTGTCACAACCACCACCCACTATGTTACTACCGTTGTCATCACACCCACCCACCCCACATCCCTACTATGACCATGCTACTACTGTCACTGTCATACCCCTACCCTAAACCCCACCAACAAACTATTATCGCCGTCACAACCGTCACTCACCCCCACCCTACCCCAATCCACCACTATGCCACTATTGTTGTTGTCACACCCACCCACCCTGTCACCCCTACCACTCCATCATTGTCTCTGTCATAACTGCCGTCCACCCCCAACCTAACCCAACCCACCACTAACCAATATGCCACTACTGTTGTCGCCATACCTAGCCACCCCCAACCCAACCCCAGCCACCATCCCACCAATGGCGTTATCACAGTTGCCACACTGGTAGCTGTGGCAACATCAATAATGACATGGTGGTTCGTAGGGTATGGAAGATACATGTGGGGTGAGAGTCGGGTGGGGATGGTAGCTTGATGAGGACAATAGTGGCATGGTGGTCGATATGGTAGGGTGGACGGTGGCAGAGTTGGGAAGGGTAAGGGTGGTCCACACAAAGATGGAAATTCCAATTCTTTAGAGATTTCTTTCCAATTCCTACCAACCAAACACGTGGTCTAACTTATCGTCTTTTTATCCCTTTTGATAATCCTTTGAAGATGACCTTATAAACTAGATTATGAACACTCTTATATATTCTATCATATTAATTTCACTTGTTAATTTTAATGTATATTAATTGACAACTTCTAAAGTAATGCATCATTAGAGATGCTCTTAATTAATGGGTTTGGTACACATGATACTCGTATGTTTTTACAGAACCCGTAAGATCACAAAATAATACTGGAAATTTATAAGAAAACATTGTGAAGATACAAAAAGTACCCAACTTTCACAAAAGATAAATATTGTAGAGGTTTACCTTACAGTGTTTCATGGGTCTCATAAAAATAGATTGGTCTGAAATGATTCCAACTCTTTATTTTTTTATTTATATCAATAGTTTAAAAAATTAGCAACACATTTTCTCAATCTTTTTAAAGTTGGTTATTTGATTTTTTTTAAAGATAAAGATAAACCAGTGTTCATAAAACACACAACTTTAATAATATATATATATATATATATATATATATATAGGGTTGGGTTCATGTGAGACCAACTTGTTTTCGTGAGACCGTGAAACCACAAAATAACACTTGAAACTTCACAGTAAAATTTGTGAAGGTAAAAATAACTCTGAACCTTTACAGCAAAAATACTGTGAAGGTTACCTTCACAATGTTTTGTAGTGAATGTTTAGTGTTATTTAGATGGTTTCACAGGTCTCACGAAAATAGTTTGGTCTCACATGATCCCAAATCTATATATATAAGGAAAGGTTCATCTGAGAAGTGGTAAATATTTAAGAAGTAAAAAAAATATCATAGCGCTTCATCTGGTCAATATTTGCGGCTTTGACTGTGAAGCACCGGATAATTCATCGCATAAATATTTGGAAGATAAATGGGTAGTTTCGTAATTTTTACAAATAGGCGGCAATGGTTCATGAACCCATTAATTAGTTCATATGTGAATCACATGGGTTCATATATGAATCAATTAATTAGTTGTAGATGGATTGGTAGATCTAAATGGGTGCCTGTGAGCGGTTGTTGAAAACTCACCCTTCCCTCTCGTTCAATAGTGGTAATGGTCCTTGACTTGTCGTACAAAAATGAAATAGAGAGGTAAGACTCCGACGAACTCCTCAAGGTTTGCAGACGACCCCGACGAACTCCTCCCCGACCCTTCGATCTACATAGCGGCAATTTTGCTCTCTTCCTTCGATCCACATCACAGTAGGTTATGGACTTTTATTTAGGGTTAGGTTTTTCTAGATGAATCAGGGTCTTGTTCTTGACTCGAGCCCAAATGTGTGGCTTGAACAACAAAAACCCTCAAGATCTCCACCAACCAGATTAGGGTTTTGTGTTTTTAGGGATTTTTGTTTGTCTTTTAGATTTAAAATTTTAGTTTGTACGGATTTTGTATTGTAACTTTTTGTATGAATCTGTTACGGATGTTAATGCAACATTTATTGATGTTTTTCATGGTTGATTTGGATTTCAACGTCAAGCCATGATTTATGCTTTGTCTGAATCAAACTCATGCAGTATTATGAATGATGTTCTTCATTTGGACTTCTGATTTATTCGTGAAAGTAATTAGGTTTTAGGGTTCATTGTATTGAAGAGGGAGGCGGGACAAGGAAGGTAAAAAGACATTTTTATCCTCATATGCAATGCACATGACGTCAATTAATGGTAGTCAAATTAACAGTGTTAAGTCGAAGGACCATGGATGTCATAAAAATAAAAAGGTTACGAACCTCCAATATAGATAGTTTGTTTAAGGCACCATATCCAAAAATTTGAACAAACCACGAGGACCACCAACGTTATTCACCGTAGTTAATATGTGGATTACTCCAATTCATATATAAACATATAGTTCATACGTTATGTAAACCCATTTGCCACATATATGTAAAAGTTATGAAACTAGCCCCCTTTATTTTTTGCATAGCCATAATTCTTGACCATATGAAGGGTTATAATCACTTCTTTACTTCTTAAATATTTATCACTTCTCAAAATAACCTATAACTATATATATAAACATGTGTGTATTGTTTCCTAATATAAAGTATTGATCGTAATTAATGAACTTTATTCATCTTACATAAATATTTAAATCATAATAAATGAACTCTCATCATTTCCATAAATATCTCAATTATTGGGTTGTATTGGTTGTACAAATATATATATATATATATATAGAGAGAGAGAGAGAGAGAGAGAGACTTGAGATCATGTGAGACCAAGGGTTTTTCGTGAGACCCGTAAGACCAATTCTGGATTTAGATCTACAATCTGAACATTCATAATCACAAAATTGCCACGAGACTTCTCAATAATCACAAAATTGTCACCGTGCAACTTTAGACCATTAGATCATTAGCTTATAAAGTTGATCAATAAACATAAATTGGGCTTACGGGTCTCACGAAAAATTTGTGGTCTCACGTGAATCCAACCCTATATATATATATATATATATATATGTATGTATGTATGTATATGTATATGTATATGTATATGTGTGTGTGGATGGATGGGAATATACTTGAAAATTCTAATAAATGGGAGGCAATAATACACCAAGTGGGTGTTAATAAATAGGTTTTTTTTAAATAAATAAAAAAAAAGAATAAATTCTTTAAGTATGATAATTAGGGCCACCAAAATTTGATACTTTAATTCAACTTGATCCTAAAAAAACATGCATCTCAAAATACTTAAACTTTAAATTTCAACAAGTTGGTTCTCAACTACTCTATATTTTATTTTATTCTAAGTGTTATTATTACGTCATATTATTATTATATAACACATGCTTTTTATTTTACTGAAAATTTTACAATATATGTGTGTGTGTAAATTGAGAAAATTAACTGAATGTGATATACGTAAGAAGTATGGATAAGTTGTATCAAATGGTTGGTGATGAAAAAGAAATTATGAGTAGAGAAATAACATATTTAAGATTAGAAGAATATTTTAATGTACCAAAGTACCAACCCGACTAACCCGTACAGTTTGGGTTGGGTTATGTTAAGATTTTTCAAACAGCAAACATTAAGTTTGGTTGTTTAAATGTCTTCAACCCGATCCATAAACACCCTTAGTAACAATACATGCTAAATGCAACCAGTGCTTGATTTTGTATGTCACAAAATATCAGAACTTATTTTGATTTGTTATCCAACTCATTTTACAACTCAAAATATTCACCCAAAATGTATTTACATATTTATAGTTTGATTATTCTTATTGAATTATATGTTATATATAAGATGTTGTGATATTTTATTTTTAAAATAAAATATTAAGTAAAATTACGTTTTTCATCCCTGTACTTTGTTGAAAATTGTCATTCCATCCTTACGGTTTATCGAAAAAATTGCTAGTTTTGGAAATGTGATTTTAAAATTACAATTTCCGTCTCTATGGTTCACAAGTTTTAAGATCACCCAAGACTAATATCGGGACACTAGCGATTGAACAACTCACGACACAGATGGGAATGGCCAAAGTCGGTGCAATGAGCCAGATGCCGTGGATAAACAAAAATTTTGAATTCTTCTTGAAATCCAGTCATAAGATCTAGACTGTATACCTACAAATAAGAGGTCTGCAGATTAATATTTACTCTGAGAAAACACTTGATTACGATGTTCCCATATTATGTATGCCGCAGACTGATGTGTAGCTTGGCACACAGCTTTCAACCAAGCCGAAGCCAGAGATCCCTATGGTTCACAATTCATTGTTGTTTTCATTCTTGTAGTTTACTCCATTCGTCCTTAAATAAATGTTCACAATGAAAATGACACAAGTTTAATTACACTTTTCAAATGATTAAATGACATTTTTACCCTTGACAATAGAGAGGGATAAACTTCCTCCATCTCATAACCAAGAGTAGAATTGAAAAGCGGAAATTTACGTTTGAAAACGGACACTTATCTTGTGACAAAATAAAATAGAAATGTAGACATCTAATCTAGGACGAAGGGAGTACAATTTATTGTTATTTTCTTTCTTTTAGTTTACATTTCTTTGTGTTTTCGTCCCTCATACTTAAAAGATAGAAGTTAGCCAACAGGGACGTTCCAATCTTTTTGGAGGCCCTGTTACATCCAAATTTTTTGATTACATTGCATAAATGAGATAAAAGATAATATATGTTAGAACAAAAATGGCTAAACCCAAAACGATTAACAATCTGAAACTAAACCTAAACCATTAGTGATTTGAACCTAAAACTAAACAATTAATTGTTTGAACCTAAATAATTCCGGCTATAGTTTTACACAGGTCAATAAAAGACCATGATCACATGTAAATTTGGGCCCCAAAACTTCGGTTGTCCTATTCAATATCTCACATTTAACATGTTAAGGACCGGTCATGTTGGCCAAATAAATAAAACTAACAATGAATTACAAACCATAATGACATAAATGACAACGTAAAAACCACAAGAATGAAAACCGTAATTTCTGACAAGTTATAGGGGCAAAAAGGTAATTTAGTCTAAAAATAAGTATATATAGTGTTTTTCAAGAAGGAAAAGGTTGTCAACTGGGGGAGAATATGTAAAGTAAACAAATCAAAGAAAGCAGATCTGATGGGCCCCACAAAGGCTCCAACTTGGGGTTGTTGGGTCCACTTGTGTCTTCAGATGCACACGTGTCATATCAGGAGTAGTTGGCCAGCTAAATACTCATCAACGTCCACCATGCAACTTGCAACAACAAGAAGTAGCCGAAACGTCACCGTTTCCGATCCGAAAATTATATTGTCGGGGTAGTTGTCATGTGCACCACACGACCACCATAGCTTTTTACGCACACTGGTAAAAGGGTGTGTGTTGTGGGACCCGTGGGATGACGTGGCGACAGAGATTTGAACTCGTCAGCATGGCCTTTTTTACGCTTATGGAGTTGTACACCCCACTCCGATTCAAACGGCTCCCAATAAATATTTGAAAATAATTAGCATTAAATGTCTTTTATGAAAATTTAAAACAATATTTAGAATAAAAGGGTCGTTTGAAAATTACTGAATGATTTGATGTAAAATGATTAAGTAGTCAAAATGATTAATATGCTCTCATGATATAATGCAAAATAAAATATAATTGTTTGATAATTATGTACAGTGAAATTGAGACTCTTAATAATTAAGGGATATCCATGATACAAAATCATTTAAAAGATTTTAGAACTATTAAGAGGCAGACTTTTTTTTGTCAAACAAGATACACCTATTAACGATTCAAATGTTGCCTTTTAATAGAACTATTAAGAGGTAAACAAATAACTCCATATGAACTGATATGATGACACATGTCACCGCTTCATTGATTTTCATCACAAGAGAGAAAGAATACTAAGTTTTTTAATGGTGTCACCATATAGTTTTAAACAACAAACCCACATGAACTAATATGATGACACATGTCATCGCTTCATTGGTTTTCATCATAAGAGAAAAAGAATACTACGTTTTCAAATGGTGTCACCATATAGTTTTTCAAACTGACATATTAACACAAGACTTTAATGGTTGAGATAGTAAACTATTTTGTCTTTGTAGAAAAGTCATGGGTTCCTCTCCTATTGTTGTCAAATTTGTTGTTTTTTAAGGGACCGTTCACCAAATACTTACTCAGTAAGTGCTTACCAATAAAATTTAACATTATTATATACTTACCGGATAAGATTTTAGGCCACCAAAACGACATCGCATGCAACAATTTATCCAGTAAGTGCTACCATGGTAAGAGTCATCGCCCACACTTACTGAGTAAAACTCTTGGTTCGTGTCTCGCTCTTACCAAGTAAGATTCTTGTTCCTTACCATATTCATCCGATGAGGTAATATGACTTGGTAAACGCTTACCCGAGTAAGCGTTTGGTAAACAGCCCCTAAATTTGGTGTCGTTTTACATACCTTTTGTATTTTAAAAAATATACACAGACAAGACTCGAACATAGGTCTTTTCTATGTAAGGACAAACATGTACTAGTATTATGAAAAAATAGATTGTTTTTTATAGTTACATTGTGCCACCACTTGAAGAATTTCTAGATCTGTCTCTGAAGCCTAAAGAAAATAACTGAATTGAACAACAAAAATACGCTAGTTTGGAACCGACAAAACATCAAAATCAATACTTTATAGAAACGCATAAAGCTTCTCGTGTAAGACGTTCCAAATTTCGCTCTATCTTTCCGTTTTCCAAAAAACCTGAAATGTTCAGGAGTCTTCACAAAAACAGTCACTTCTCTCTTTAAGATAGATGTTAGATCTACATCCATCTCAACCTCTGGCCCTTTGAATACTGGGTCAATTTGGTTTGGTCTGGTTTATTAAGACGTTCCGTAAACTAAACCAGATGAAAAGTATACAGTATATCTCACTCAAATGCGAACAATTTAGCAACCAATAACTTACGGTGAATTTAATTGGAAACCTTAAAATTTGCAAAATTACATTTTGACCCCTGTGAAACAAAAGCCACCTAAAACAAATTTTGTTAGAAAGAATGCCAATGAAGCTGAAACTAACAGCAGATAAAAACAGGTTTTTTGGTCATGAAATTAGTTTTTCGCTAAGATGTACTAACCTTCTACCGAGTGCGGGGAATTTGGCAGTAAATTAAATTGTCAGAAAAAACGAGATTAAATCAGGCGGTGGTAGATGTGTATTGGGCTGAGCCGCCTCTTCTGCCGCCTCTTCCTCTTCCTTGCTGGTGATAACCATCACCACGTCCGCCAGGGCCTCTTCCTCGGCCAGAAAAGTCACCACGCCCACCACCATAGTCGCTTCTACCATATCCACGACCACCGTTGAAGCTTCCACCACGTCCTCTGAATCCTTCATTCCTGAAACCACCGCGTCCTGCCGGAAAACGACTGCCACGCCCAGTCCCAACTGCAACAATTAACATTTAGAAGAAACTTTAATTTTCAATCTATAAAAAACCAAACAAACCGGGCATATCCAACTCGGAGGCATTTTCAGTTTCCGCTTTATAAGTAGAGGAAAAGAAACAAGACCAAGTTTAGCAAGAATAAATTGCTTGAAAACAACAAAATTATCGATAAAATTCGTGCTCTAAAACGAAGGGACGCAATCTTTGAAATAAGATAGAGTATTACGACTAATTCTGTCACGGGAAAATGTATCAGAAGGCAACGAAATTTGCCATTTATTACTCATAACTTGCAATCTTGTAACATTTAATGACGTGGATGTCAAATTTATCATCCATTTCATTGCAACTCTTTCGTAAACATTTTCTAAACCTTTCATAAACTGGGATCCACTTTATAATGTTACAAAATCATGAGGTTACAAGTCAAATGGGTATAAAATATAAAATTTTGAAACTTTGTTACGTCAGTGGAGAAAAAAATTCTGTTACACTAAGGGCCTGTTTTTAGCAACTTAATGAGCTTAATGAGACTCAGTTTATTTGGTCAGCTACACATGACTGTTTGGAAGTGGCTTAATAATATAGAAAGTGGCTTATTCAATAAGCTTCTAGGGGAAACTTTATCCAGAAAACCCAGTTCTTTTACAAACCTACCCCTCCCAATTGAAAAAGACGCTTATTCCATCTATGAAAAAACCCATGAACAAAAATCCTCCCAATCTATAAAAGAGCTTAATCCACACAGACAACTTTATCCATACAAGACTTAATGGAAAACCAACCAAACAACCCCTAAATAAGAACTAAACCAAACATTTTTGCATTTTGCAATTGTCACCGAACAAGATCAAATGCAAAGCAACAAGAAGAAACATACCTCGAGTTGTAGTCCTCTTTATCTCTACGACAGCCTCTCGACCACCAATAACAACAGGAGAGCTCTGAATGAATAAAGAATAAGATTATATTTACTGCTACTTAGCTAGAAAAGAATGGTAAAGGCTTAATACAATGTATAAGAAATTTTATCTAGCAGTCTATTAGCAACATATAACTTAATAAATTCAGAAAAGGATGCAGTGACGGAGAGTAGGAGCTTTGCACAAAACATTCACAGGACATGGGACTTCTTCATCCACAGGGTATATATACATATATACACACACAGAGGGAGGTTCAAATAAGAAAGGAAAAAAATGGTAAGAATAAATTATTCATATGTGAATCATTGGTAAACCTGAAAAAAATCCATTTGAAGATGCATATTTGAACCCACATTTGCTTACCTAATTTTTTACCATTTATTCACATGTGAAGATGCATATGTGAACCCACGTTTCCTTTACTAATAATTCACATGTGGATCGTTATTCTTACGTCCTTACCATTTTTGTCAATCTTACTCAAACGAGAATACCTTCATTTCACGAAATCAGGAGAAGACCCTTTTACTGTAGTCAATCACATGTGATACTAAATCAAAGACATAAGTGGGTGACCTTTGGCATGGCCTAGATCGCACACGACCAGGTTCCCTCACGTGTATTATCACATGTGATAGAGTGTTTGTCGCGTTTTAGTAAAATGAAGTTGTTCTTGTTTGAACTTCCACCTATATATATAACCCTATATATATACACACACCCGGCAACATGAAGTAGAAGAATGAGCTGCTTCTATTGTGAGTGATCACAACCTAAAACTGCTTATAAATCAGACCTAGATGAGAATATTTGGTGCATGTCTCCAGAAATCCAAACAATGCATGTGGTGCAAGCAATATACAAAGACTTTACTGATGGGGAACATAAAGAGATAAAAAGGTTCTAGAGTCATGCTTCCACCCTCCCCCAAAAAAGAAAGATGGTCCTATAGGAAACATCAAAACAAATATGATATACCCTGCATTTTTCCTAGAATTAAATCAGAGTATATTTGTTATTTTGCATTAAATCAAGTGTAATATTGTTCAAGAGATGGTTGCAAAAGTCCTAAATTGTTTTTTAGGGGATGGTGGGGGTAAAATATTTTATAGTAGATACAACCCACGCAGTCAGGAGGGACCTACAAAGGCCCGAGAGGGGTCCCATGCACCCACTCAACCAATTTTCCCAAGTAAATTTTTATGGGGTATGAAAGGTGCACCCCGCTAAACTTTGAGGGGTGCTCCGGGATATTAGAAAATATAACAAACATCAACCAAAAATACCTTGAAATCAACCAAAATATCGAAAAACTGGGAAGTCCATCGAAATCAACCTAACTTCTCAAAAAATCCCTCAAGTGGAATTTAGCTAAAAGCACATCGGAAGACTTTGTGAGCCTTTGATCCACCTTAAAGATACACCCGCTAGGCAAAAATTCTGGGTCTGCCATTGCATGCAGTCCCATATGATGCATCCACAAGAGCTGGACTCAGACTAATAGTCACTCCATTTATTACCAAGAAAATGTTCATGTTCTGTTAGGTATGCACTTTTTTTGGTAACCAGGTGTTTGGACCAGCTTGAAAGCACCTCGACTAATCCCATGGGGTCGTATAGATAACAGCCAGAAAAATCCACAATGGCCCCGAAGAGACTCGAGTCGACGACTTGTGGGAAGGAGCCCCAAGGCCTAATATTTATTTGCCCCCAATGGCCCTGAAGAGACTCGAATGAATGACCTATGGGAAGGAGCTCCAAGGCAAAGTCTTTATTTGTCAGTTGAGTTGGCCCTCAAGGTTAAGAGGTATATATCCCAATTGGGGTAAAACAGGAACTATACGAATTATCCTTATAAGTAAGCATTTTACAAGGACCACTCCGTTATTGGAATGTAGAACAGAAACCTTACGTGCTTACTAGCTCATGCTTATCAAGTACAAAATCGGTTCTTGTAGTACAACGGTGTAATATTAGTTAAGGTACTTTTACTCTTCACTTAAAAGGAATACATTTTAAAATGTCGCATCAATGTGTCCCATTGGTGCGACATCAGACTAGGACAGAACGAAATTGTCCCAAGAAGATGGGACAAAGTTAGTAAATTACTAAACTACCCATATGAAATCAAAACCCTAGAACCCTTCACAATTCTTTCACTGGCCTACCTCAATCACACCCGTCGGATCCAAGTCTTTCCAATCTTGTCCCGTCTGCATACCAAACGCACCCTCAATGCCATTTTCTAAGAGCACATGGACAAGTATGGGGTAGTACTTGCATACCTAAGAGGCTAAGTTGTTAATTTACTACATTTATATCGGTGCATTAATCCGATGAACTGTCAATACTCGAGAAGTACAAGAGTAGGCAGCATAAAAATTCTTCTATTGCTCCCAGCGCCCCAAAATAAGTGTCAACTTTCAAAAGTAAGTGTCTACTTCCAATTCTACCCTTAATTATGAGATAGAGAAATTCATTACTCCTTTCATTATTATGGGTAAATTGGTAATTTAGTTCATTAAAAAGTGTAATAATTACATATTTCTAGACTTGTGTGCCTTTTTCATCGTGGACATTGATTTTGGGACGAGAAAGTGCATCTTTAGAAGCTTTCTTTAGATTCATCAGGATGGCGGATGCAATTTACTTGCACACTATAGCATATAATAAGTTGTAGGCTTCTAGTATGGATAAGTATCAAAAATCTATATGCTTCTGTGATTCTAGAAGTTCTCTTGCATCCTCAAGTCCTCATATAGCAGGTCAGCCATCGAAAAAGAGGAACAAGAGGACAATATTTGCTTCCACCAATTGTATCATCCCTCCCACTCCACAAATCAACAGCTAATCACAAGTATCATTCAGTGCGACATACAACCATGTGATAAGCCTACTGTACGTTTCACATATAAAAGAAGATTTAAATAGTTTAATTGTAAGTAAGTGGAGGGTAGTTGGAGGGTAGTTTGGGTATTCTTCTGAATAGAATATTTGTGACAGCCTTTATAATGGGGAAGTTGGT